GATGCTTTAAAGATGTTTTTGACCCGCACTCACGTATGTGTCACAAAACCTGGAACATTTTCGTAACCCTCAAATCTTGAACTCACTACCTTGTGCTTCGTGCACCGACGTCACAGTCATAGGAGGGTTAGTGTTTTTTTTCGAGAGCAGAAATCTGGTGTCCTCAGCGGCATAGTGGTTATGCTAGTGTGGTGTTAAGGTTAGGTCGTTCCAAACGCAGGTTTGTCGGTTCGAAGCCGAGGTGGTGAAAAAACTTTCGAGGCTGATATGCATTAATAGCTCGTGAACATGACGTGGATATATGCCGAACATTCTCAAGTCCCACTCAGTACTAATTAGCATTTGGCGACGACTGGAAAAGTAACTGACCGAAAAGTGTAAACAGTAACAACACTGAGGAAGAGATTGGCCCTAGTACTTATTGCATCCGTGCTAATAACTTTGCCGAAAAATTCTGTGCAACTTTAATCTAACGTGGCACGACCTCCACAACCGTGTCATGTTGTCCACAAAAAGCTATGCTTTTTTCGTTTTTGTCTCCTCGTTGCATTAGCGATGCGATCAAAGCCCCACATTGCACTCCCTAGCTTAACGTCAGGTAAGCCATACCCAAACGCCAATCACTACTTCTTTTCCTCTGACCTGAGTGAGCCGGCAGCTCCCGCGTCCAGGAGCGGTTCTGCCGTTGGCCCGAGCACCGGCCTGGGCTCCGCCCCGCTGACGTTTGACCTGACCTCTGGCCGCTCGCAGTCGGCTCGTTCCGGACGCGGTACTACCAGGAGTCGAGGGAGGGCGTGTACAGCGGCGCCTCGTTCGTGTTCTGCCAGACGCTCAGCTCTCTGCCGCTGTCGGCGCTCTCGGTCTGCGCCGCCGCCTCCATCATCTTTTGGTCAGCGTTCTGCTTGGTCGGGAAACCGCGGTAGAATTCAGCTGCGGATTTGAGTTGTGCTCCTCGAGCCTGTGTAGGCTGGCACTGTGTCGGGTTTTAAGTCTTTGTTTGTAATGCCTGGCCTTAGTTAGGAATCTGTATCCGCCAAAAGTTAAGCATCGCTCACTTCCGAGATACTGAGACGCGTCCGGGATAGCAATACCAAGGGCGTCCGAGGCGCTTCCATTAGATCGCTCATGTCAAGAGCTTATGTGCATTTGTGTCGGCATTGTCATTGGAGAATTTGTTGGCGTTGGCTTCTCGGAATAGCTTTGATGCTTATCAACAATTACTTTTACTGCTTATTCAAAAAAGGGACAGGCTCACAATGCTGGTACGGATATGTTCCTGGTCTCACAGTTGCAGTTGAGCGAAGAGTTGATAGCGTTCGCCGTCCGTGACATCCCACAAGCGCGCCATTCTTCGGCAACGTTGCGCCGCTGCGCGAAACTGATGCCGTGGTCCTTGGCCGACTCATGCTGCCTGGCGTGTCCGCAGGGGCCTCGGCCTGGGCGACAGGCGCTCCACGACAGCCCCTGACCTGCCATGGTCCCTGACCAACTCGTACCGCCTGGCTTGTCCACAGGGGCCTTGGCTTGGGCGACAGGTACTCCACGACGGACGCGCTCTGGCAGTGGTTCCTCTTCTTCACCGTGCTCTGGGCCTGCTACGCCTTCGTGGAGCACCAGACCATGCTGCTGCTCATGGTGTGCAAGTCCTCGTTCACTGCCGCCATCGCCAGCTTCTACTGCACTGTCACCTACATACTCATCGGCAGCAGCACCCTTAAGTGAGTCTGGGTGGCCGCGATCGATACTCAACATTTTACGCCTCTAACAAGCGTTCAGAATCAGCACCCTGGTGGCAGTAGATTCACTTCATACGGGCGGGCCGACATCTAGCCATAGGCTTTTTAACTGACGTTTGACATGCATGACGTTTTTCCGAGTGCGTGCAACGAAGCACGCGTACATTGCGTTGTTCACGCATTCTGGCCGACATTATCATTCTTCCAGCCGTGCTGATTGAAATAACTCCAATCAAACGATATTGCACGTAGGTTATGTGGCAGCCCTTCGAATGAAATCTGGGATGATTAGTTCTCGTCTTAGAATGAATTCCTTAAGATACGCTGTTAAAATCAAACAAAGCTTCGTATTTTTTTTTGAAAATTTGAGAATGGTTTGACGACATGGTTTCTCAATGACGAGAGTAGGATGATTAGTTCCGAGAATGCGCTGAAAGAAAATGCAGCGAATACAATAGGTCAGTTTACACCATCATCCAGTTCAGACCCTGATAACGGGAAACCTGATCATCAGAACCCAACAGCATCTTACGGGTTACAGCATAATGAAGTTCTCAATCTGCGTAAACCGCGACCAAAAGCGTAAACCAGAAGCTTGATCGTGTGAATCGGAAACGTATTTTCTTTCTACGTCGATATTGAAAAAATGTCACCACGTTTGGTAGACTAATTGTGCATTATTACTTCAAACATGCATTGCAGGATGTCTCGATTAGCTCCAGACAGACGTCTGGAGCTTAGGAGTACTGCTTCGCTTAACATTATAAAAAGACTTCGAGGAATTCTGTCTCACATTAAGTGATCAGACAAGCATCGGTGGAAGGGTAGAGGAAAGAAATCCCGGAATGGATACAGCGCCAATGCATGTCCTCAGGCCACAGTAGCGTTTACATGCAATTGTGACCAGGTCAAGCGCCTTTAATGCGCCTGCATGGCTCATCAGAGCTGCGCCGCTACAACGCTGCACGACTAATTTGTTCCAGAACCCTGGTCGGCCTCCCGAAGTGGCTGTATTATGTCAGTTACGTCATCATCTACCGCTACGCGAGCGCCTTCCTGCACGAACAGATGTTCCGAGACAACTTTGTGGCGCTGCCATCCCGAAACGCCACAGCTCAGATCAACTGCATCAGCAACAACGCTCAGTACGGCTGCAGGTGAGCAGAAAAGTGGCGGCGTCAGAGCCGGTGCCTGCACACGGCAGCGGGGCCAGTGGTCGGGCTTGAGGCGCTGCGCTGTTTCAGAACGGCGACGTCGCTGTTTGGTTTGGTTGCGACTGTTTCTTACTCGGTGGAAATCTTAAGACATCTTTGAAAATGCAAGGTTTTGATGTTTTCAGGCTCGCTATTCTCCCATCTTTGTCTTTTGGTACATGTGATAATAATGTGTCCTTTCTGGCGCTGCTTCCGTTTGTTCGTATAGCGCGTATTGCAATATCCATCCTGAAAAGCTAAGCGAATCAGATATGCGCAAAAACAGACAAAAAGATGCAGTAGCCTTATAATGAAAATCAGCATATGCATTTTTCAGAAAGCATTTGTGCCGAGAGCTATATTTCGTGACTTAGCAGAGGGTTGCTAGATCCAGCTACATTCGTGTCATATTATTACTGTGACGCAACGCATTCTACGACTGCTGCGTGCATCCTCAGGTACTTGAATGGCACCCATTACCTCCAAGAGCGTTATAACCTGGGCAACCTTAAAAACCCGGTGGACGATCTGCACTTGCACTGGAACTTCGCCTGGACTTTCGCTTTCGTCGCTGGCCTTGTAGTCCTGAACATCATCGCATACAGCATGCCACTGCCGAACTTCATCAAGAGCAAGTTCAGAGAATGAGCACTGACGCGGGCAGGTGGAGAGACTCCGCACGTATGGGAGACAGTGCGCGTGTGTTTATTGCTGTGGTGGTATTTATATTGTAGGATCAAACAACATGTGATTCCGTGGTGTAGACACGCATCCTTTTAACTCAACTCGATGGCTAGTTCCAATAGCAGGCGATTGTATGCAAATGTTAAGTTGAAGAGCGTATGGGTGTGTACCGAATGATATTGTTACCTTGTTGAACGATCGCAATGACCATAACAATGGCCAGTTATCGCCGCCACGAATTTTCTACCATGCGATGTTCGAAGTGTTGGAATCAAAGCGTTGTACACTTTTCTGAAAACTTAGTGCGGAAAAACAAACGGCTTATGCACACTGTCAGAACATGTTGGCGTAAATGAAACTTTGCAAAGCTTTGATTCCAGTTCCACGCACTTGCTTGCTTGGTAGAAGTTGCACTGTGAAGTATAAACAATTATTTGTTATGCTGAGATAAGCTGGGCTTGATTCTGCCACGTAGTGTTGTCTTGTGTTCTGCTGGATACAAACTTGTTTTACGCCATATACACAATAAATACACCTTCTGTTACATATCACCCCAGCTCGCTTATGAGAGTTCTCGCGGTTAATAAAGCCATTGTATGGGGCACTGCAGGGTAGGTAATGCCTTGTTGAAATGGGTTACGACAGAACGGGATAATTCACTGCCGGCAAACTCGTCCCGAACTTCATTGCTAAGCAATAGCGATATTCAGGTTGTTTTACGGGACATTAAATATTATTAACTGTGCATTGCACTGCATCACTGCTTACTGCTCCGGAAAGTCAGCCAGAGAACATCCCGTTTCCGACCAGCAAAAGCAGCTTGACACACCATCTGTTTCCGTCCGCCACGACAGTTCACGCACTGTATGCATTCGATTGAATTAAGATGATCTGCCTACAATAATTATATGCCTGTTGATCGTCAAGCCAGATGTATTTTGGATAAGTGTCGGCCACGGACCTTGCTCACAAACTCGAAAAGTACAAACATAAAATGAAACCATATGTCATCGAGTGTTGACAGTGGTTTGCCTGAGAACACGCACGATAAAAATGGCACACATGTCCACACTTTGATCGCAAAATTACAAGAAATCGCGGAATGTAAAAAAACCAAATGCAACTACTCAGCCTGTTGGTAATGCATGTCATTTTATCACGTATGTTCTGAGGAAAAGCGCTGTCAGCACTGGCCGGCATCTGGTGTCCGTTTTATGTTTATATTTTTCGAATCTGTGAGGTGCGTGACCCGTAACTCATTCCGAATGCATCTTACTTAACAACACCAATATAGGATTAAAAGGTCATTTTAATAAAATACATTGTTTAGCACGCCATAATTTCACAAACATTGAACCATCATACAGTGACTGTGTACAATGCTCTGCATTGCTCCACCTCCTCATGCACTGCTTGTTGATCCATTTCGTACAATTTTAGGGCTAACATGCCATGCCATACGGCTGCATTAAAGGAAACCTCTCATGAGGGGAAAGTGCCATAGATCCTTGGCTAGAGTAGTTGGCTGCTGGTAACAAGGTGGCCTCACAAGTTACGGGAGCACTTTCTATGTACATACAGTGCGACGATACGTTTATGAAGAAATCAAGCGGTTGTGGTTATCAAAGTGAACAACATCTCACCAGCGACAAGACACTTTCGCGCGGGTGCGTGTAATTGTAGCAGATATTTGCATGCTGCAATTTAGTCGCCACGTCCCCACCGGTTTCACGACCGGCACCAACTCATACGGCACCCAGAAGCGCTCAGCCAAACCAGCCCTCCAGAATAGCCAAACAGGACACGCGGAACGCTTCACACATTATATGGACGAGGTTTCCTTATCCTCATTATCCCCATCCAGTTGCAGAATCTTTTCGCCTGGACGAGGGTCGCTGACCTCCATGCCCGTTCTGAAATGCAGTGAACACGGGCTCAGCCACGTAGTACTGTTCAGTTGTTAATGATATGTGGATTACTCGCGCGGTCAGCGGATTGGCGTCGGCCTGTGCCACAGCAAGTGGTTCTCTAGCGAAACCTTTAACGTAGATCGACCAACAGACAGGCAAGTTAATCACAAACCTACGGTTGCAGCTGCTATTGAACTTGACAAGAGGTGGCAACGTATTTTTTGACACAGTCTTGACCGAAAATAAATTGCTGAGTGTTCACTGATACCACTGAATTGAAAACAGACGAAACGCAGGCATAGAATCACGGGGCTGTGCCGTGTGACAAATCTGTAGTAGGCCTCAGTGCGATGCATCCTAATATTGCAATTATAACATTCAAGCGCATGCACTACCGTCTTAGGACGTGATAACAAAATACCATATTAATCATTAGATCTTGCCGCTGAACGGCGTTTCACGGGGTCGTGTGGTCCACAACCGAGCCCTTGAGGGACGGCAGCTAGACCACGCTACCGCAATCTTGTGGAAACCATTATCCCGCTCCATAACGATTAAGGTTACTCGCACCGCTTGATGTTCGCAGAAGCGAGCCTATTCCGGGCCGGTCACGCTCCCGCATGGCTCTGCTCTATCTGACACGGCCGCCTGCGGCTTTAACGGCGCACGACTCTCAGTCGGGCTTGGTCAGCACACCGCGGGGTGTGAATTGACTGCCGCTGGCCGCACGATAGCCCCCTGCCAGCTGATTTCGAGCTTAGCCCGTGCCTATCAGGTCGAGGGTCCCCCTAGGCGTCCCTGTGCCTGCCACGCCCACCCACGCTCTGGTCGTCATCTACACCGGCCGGGGCGTCTCTCTCCCCCCCCCCCCCCCTCCAAGCTCACATCAATCAGCTGCATCCAATGCACGGGCCTGACGCACCCCGTAATCCTGGTAATGGGGTGGCCTGATGGTGCAAATGAGAGGTGCTCTGCCCTCTTTACACACAAGTCTGGTGGCTCTCAGCCATCCCAAGCTTTAATCTCGCCACGTTGTGCAACATAGGGGCTGAATAATAACTTTTTGGTTGCGGCATGGCATGCTTCAACCAAGAACTAGCACAACTGGAGTGAATACTACAGCTACGGCCACCTCACTGCACTCACCCGTCATCGTTCATGCTGTATATCTTGGGCTGGCCCTCCAAGTTGTCGACTGGCTTCACTAGCTGGTTGACACGCGGCAGCTCCAGGCCTGGCACCTTCTCCGTCGCCATGCTGTCCAGTTTGTTGAGCAGGCGCAGCTGCTCGGTGAGCTCGGCCGACGCTGGGACCGACTCCGGCACCTGCTCCGGCACCGGCTGCTCCGGCGGGAAGAAGATCTGGCTGCCATTCTTGGCTATCGGCGCCGCCTCTTCCGACTCGAAGGCGGCGTTCGAGTACGTCACCGGGGAGGGCTTGGACGGCTTGAGCGCCGACTTCAGCGGGCTGGTCGGCGGCAGGCGCGCGTGCAGCTCTCGACGCCGGTGCCGGCTGCGCAGCTCCGGGTCGTAGTCCTGGTAGTCATCGTCGTTGAAGATGTCGCGCAGCTGTTTCTGCAGGGTTCGTTATGGTTGAGATTAGCAGGGGGAAACAAGCGTTTCCTAAGTCAATCGCCTGGCAGAGGCGGCTGACGGCAGTTGACAGCCATGGAATCTTCGTCATGGAGACAAGCTCTTTAATTCATTTCAAGTTGTATGCCTAAAGGCACTTAAGGAATTTGACGTAGTGCATGAGGATCGTCAGCAGCATCAGAGGTTAAGAGGCACTCAAATTGCGCCCTTGGTGCTAAAGGAGACGGGACGGCCATGCCCCGTCGCTTCTCCGTTCGACGGACGGGACGGCCCGTCGTTCCTCCGTTCGACAGCACCACAGACTTTTCCAAAGCTGGACCTGGCACGGGCAATTGTTTTGTGCTAATAAAATGCACGCAAAGATATCATGAAAACTTTATTTTCAATTGATATGCAAATGTGTAGAGACCAACAGCGCTTCGGCTAGTCTACAGTCCAAGTCCAGAATAAGAAGAATGATTGGACACATCCCATGACTGCTTTCGGTGGACGAAGGGTGTTAAAATACCATGCCAGAGGCACGGTCTATTCCCTATAGATTATGACATGGAAAGGTCTCCTTTGTTTATGACTGAGGAGGAAATGAACAAATCCATCATAAGCCGAGTCCTGTAGCATAAGAATTACGACAGCTGTGGTATTATAATTTAGAAACCGTCTCTAAGATGTTCTTCACCAAAGCACAAGAGTGGAAACCCGAGCCCATGACAAATTATATAAAAAATATAAATAATCAGCCCATGACAAATTAATCAGCCGATCGAACGATGACGCCCACTTACGTCTTTGTCCTCGGGAATCGTCTTCACTTCCCGAGAGATGGCGGTGACGTCCTTCCCAGCGATCACGTCGTCCGCCAGACAGCCATCGTCCATGTCCATACTGTCTGACGGCTGGTCTCTAGACATCGGACAAATTTGTCGTCAATAATGCGATGCGAATAACGCTAACGTTTGTCAAAAGCTAGCCTACTCATGAACATTGCCTGCCTGATAGACCTGAGGAGGAATCCCAGTTACCAGGATGGGTGGATGACGGTCTGGAATCAGTGAACTGCATTCGTCGATAACCTAACCCGAGCATCTTCAGGCCACGTTGGTCAGGAAGCAGATCGATGTGTTTGCTTGGGCCCAAACTGTGCATGAAGACGCATCACCCGAAAAAATCGATGATCGTTCCCAGTCTTTGCAGTTTGCACGTTAATGTGATCTTAATAGAGCACAAACCTTTTCCTGGACGGGGTTGAGCGGCTGAAGAAAACAAACAGTAGAAATGCGGCCAGGAGGACGAGAGGGACAGCAATAGCAATGCCATACCACCACTTTTCATTGATTTCCTCCAGGTACAAGGACACCTGGTGGTAGAAAAATATTACAGGGGCGTCAGATTCTGACATGGGAGACAGACGTACTGTCATCCACGCACTGTATGCGAAAATGAAAATGATTGTACAGGCAACACACGTTTTATATTCTACTTAACCGATGTCATCAACTTAACACATCTGGCTGTACTAATACACGCACCAGTGAAAACAAGATCAGGACGTAGCCGAAACGAAAGCATACAGTGCATAAGCCAAAAAGGAGTGTTCTTGCACTGCGCCAGACCAATGCGTTTAGAGCCAACAAAAAAGCAAAAAGTTGACGATGAAATGGCTGAGATAGTCACTGCTCGCCTGCCTGGCTCTGGTGCCCCAACGCCTGACGCGGTGCCGAGGTCAGCAGGCCGCAGCGCCGCCGGCACCCTGCCTTCGACCTCACCTTGTACTTGAGCGCGTTGTTGATCTTATCACCGAACTTGACGATGACTTGGACCAGGTCGTCCGTGAAGAAGACCCAGTCGCCGTCTTCCGAGACGATCTCCACATACCACGTCAGCCGGAAACACGTCGGATCGGGCTTGACCCAGCCGGAGGAGTAGTCGCACATGCTCCAGAAATCGAACCGGATGTCGTCGGCGCTGCGGGTGGAGAAGAAGAAGAAGGAGGTGTGGGCGGCGCTCAGGCACGCTCCACGGGAGGGCGAGCTAGAGCAGGGGCGGCCGGTCTCGCGCACCAGCGAATGCACGGACACGCCCCTTTTCAAGTTGGTGTAGAGCCCTCTGCCGAGTAGTGAACAGCCGAGGACGCACGGTATTCCGCTATAAGCAAGGGCTTTAAGATAACTGAATGTAGATGGACACAAATGTGAGCTGCAAATGAAGCGTGCGCAGTGACGTAATCTAATCTCGACGTCGGATGAAATTCTGTAATGGCTATCAGCACTGTTACCGGCGCACTCTGCGAGCAATGCCAGTTGATGACATACAATCAAACGCTAAACGATTTCCTGTTCAACCAGACGAGACTGGGTCGCGTTCTCGTGCCACACATTCCTACAAGCGAAGATCGGCACAGGCGAGCCGCCCACGCGAGGGGCCACGCTCGTCAGCCGCCGCCGTCCTGGCCCAGCGCCCCTTGTCCGTCCCTACTGCACCGACCCAGCGCTGTCAGCCCGTCCCTACTGCACCAGCCCAGCACTGTCAGCCCGTCCCTACTGCACTTGCCCGGCGCTCCAAGCCCGTCCTTACTGCACTGGCCGCCACGTGTTGATGTTGTACTCGATCCGGTACATGTTGGTGAAGTGGGCGAGCTGCTCCTGCAGCTGCGCGGTGGCGCCGGTGGAGCTGTTGAGGAAGCGGCGCGGCTCGGTGCCCGTCACGTACACGGCCAGGTCGAACGAGCGGTCGCTCGGCGTCGGCGGGTGGTTCTTGTCCGTCGTGCTCGACACGGTGGTGGTTGAGCCGGCGATCTCTGTAACCCGCCCAGCCGGGAAGGCACGTGTCGGCGGCGGAGCGCGGGCGGGCCGCCTCGGCCCGGCCGGGGAGGCACGTGCCGACGGCGGAGCACGAGCGGGCCGCCTCGGCCCGGCCGGGGAGGCACGTGTCGACGGCGGACCACGAGCGGGCCGCCTCGGCCCGGCCGGGGAGGCACATGTCGACGGCGGACCACGAGCGGGCCGCCTCGGCCCGGCCGGGGAGGCACATGTCGACGGCGGAGCGCGAACGAGCCGCCTCGGCCCGGCCCCGGCAGCTAACCGGCCGGTGGCCCCTCCTCCCAATACTGACCCGAGGCAACCTCCCCACATGCTCCTCTGAAACCCCTCAATGCATTTGAGCGAACAGGTAATACTGGGGTAAAGAAATGGATGCAAATTACGTTTATTATTTGTACAATAGTACCTAGACGCATCACATCTTCAACTCGTACCCAAACGTATCCGGCAGGTACCCAATGCTGCTGTCGTGCCAACTCGTTCACATATTGGGCCAGCTTGCAAATACCCGACAATTTTTTACATGCTGACGCCCGAATTTGGGTAAATAACAGCTGGCTGTGACAAGCGCTGCTTTGAAATGCACAGGGTGATCCATATAGAAATTAGCCCATGTTTCCCTCAACAGCGGCAAGTGTATACGTTACATAGTCGTGACTGTGTTGGTATTCTACTGCCAATAGAATAGAAAATCACGATTACTGCCACCAGCAGCAATCAGTGATTCCACAGACATCAAACCATGACAATAAAATATACCGGTTCTAACAAACAAAGAGGCATCAGTTTTACTTTCATGGATAGGTGCTTCATGGCAGTGTGCTCAAAAATCGTCCATAGGCTCTCGTCCGTACGCGTACGTACGTCTGGCCACACCAATGCACATATGTTTTGGCGCCTTGGGCCACCTTTGATGAACGATGATCGATGACTTTTTAAGTGAGGACAAGGATTTTAATTACCGGAATGCTTTTTATGTGAATTATGCCCCATTCAAGGCTTTTCACAAAAACGCGGTCTCAAACCGCCTTGAAGTCGGAAGCCACCCTTGGCAACGAAACTAAATTGGAACCAAGGAAATATGCTTTTTAAGTTGAATTTCAACATCGGGAACGCCAATCAAAGTGACTAAATTCCGAGGAGACTCCGGTTTAGCGGGCAGGTTAAGCCAACCATGTCTGTTCGCCCTCCCCTCCACCGATTTTAAAAGTGGGGCCCCTGACTGAGAGCTCGACGTTGCAAATCTGTTGGCTCCCAGGAACGCGTCCAGGTTGGCCAGTGAGCTGCACTACGTACCATAGCGATGCCAGTGAGCTTCACGACGTACCATAGCGATGCCAGTGAGCTGCACTACGTACCATAGCGATGCCAGTGAGCTTCACTACGTACCATAGCGATGCCAGTGAGCTGCACTACGTACCATAGCGATGCACGGCCCCAACTATCGGCACGCTTTCATCCTCTGCGAGTTTTGAAGCCCGAACGTACCCTCTGCGACGTAGCTGATGATGAACGGTGTTCGGGGCTCGGCGTGGCCCCCCGACAGGAAGTATACGAACGCATTTCCGCCCGGAATGTGGTACTTCCTGGTGCTGAACACGCCGGTGAGCAGGTCACCAGCGGGCTCGGAGTCCCAGGGTCCACTCCCTGCGACAGGTCACCACAGGGTCATCAGCTCAGCACACCAGCGGCAGCGGAAGGTCATGTCAGGTAGCGGTACCAGCAGGTCTCTTGAGTTACTCAGTAGCAGCAACCAGCAAGAGCGCATGTCCTTGGTCCAAGATACCGGTGAACCGCCAAGACATCTGCCTTGGTGCTTCAGGATGTAAATGAGGTGATAATGTCTTCGGGTCACATCCATAGCGATGTACTAAAGCCATCACCAGTTACCAGGTCGTCTGTGCAACTTTCATAAGATCTGATCGTTACCCACCGACAACACACGTGCGCCAATGTCATGGGCCTGTGCTGCTGACCGCTCGAAAGCCATACGAAGCCTATATGCATAAATGGCGTACAACGCCGGCAGGAACAGCTTTTGTTCCGGTTTGGATGGCTGATGGTTGCCACGCCCAGTCGGCCCAGTCCAGTGGGCAACAGATCTCACCGTAGCCGCATATGATAAAGTCGTTAGCTGTCGGCTCCAGATCCAGCTGCTCCACAGTGATGTTGATGTGATAGGCGTGAATGTCCAGCGTCCAGAGGATCTCCGTGTTGAGCGCGTAGTCGGGTAGGTGAGTCCAGTTGGTCTGTTCAGGGGCCTCCAATACGCCGCTCAGAGCAGTCAAAGTGATGTTTTCACGGGCTGGTCACAAACGGAGGTGGCCAGGTGACCAGGGCGCATGGGACGCCGCACGGTCATGGCGTACAGGCTGTGCCCCGCGCGGTAATGCGGCACATATGGTTTACTGTATCCGTATGAGCGTACATATCGCTGTATCACCGTGCATGTTTCTCTTCATGGCTAGTAGAATGATGTTTTGAAGAACGGCGTGGTTTTCACTCCCCGCATGTGCACTGCATCAAAGCAAACTGCTGAAAGTGCCCACCTGTGATAGTGAAATGTATTTTGGTGGACGTTAATATTGATGCCTATAGGGTGGTAGATGACCATTATAACAGCAGGGGATCAGCAGACGCTCCACATCGCTCTGCGCACACTGAGGCGGACTGGAGAACGCCGCGGATCATGACGGAGGGCTTGTTGACGAAACGTCCGCTAATCTCCTGCTCTAATAAGAGGTACCGACCACCCTATACGGTACACAGCCAGTGACCATGACAAGGGCCTCCAAGAATGTCCTACACCATCACCCAAGGGCCCTCCAAGAACTCCATGACGGCAAAATGTCATCTTTGTAGGCGTTATTGTTCGAAATTCTGTTCTCATTTGAGGAAGCCCGCCTCCAAAAGAGTCGAGAATCTGACAAAAGTCGCAAATTCTACAACGTACAGTAAAAAGCACGAATATTCTACTCGATGTATGACGAAAACACATTAGCTTCTTCAATCCTAGGCGTCCCTCGGTGCACGTCCACCCACGTCCACCGTCCTCTCCCACTTTGCCATTCTCTTTCCAGCCTTTCCTTCGCTCCGCATCCCTGCCTCTCCTCCGAGCTTACTGGTGTTGTAGGCTACAAGCGTCATGATCACGCGACCGCGCTGGGCCTGATCTCCGGCGCGCCGATACTCGGCGGTGAGGCTGGCGCCGCGGCTCGCCACCCAGGCCTCGCCGGCCTGCGTCAGCGCCGCCAGCTCTCCGCCGTCGTCTCGCAGCGTCAGGCTCTCGCCCGGACCGAAGCGGGTGCCGGACCCGGCCGGCGCCAGACGGAGCCGCACCACCGAATCGGCCGAGCCGCTGAACGTCCACGTGATGACGGCATCCTGGAGAGCGGCGGCGATTGAAGCCGAGGCACCGCTGGTCGGGCGGGCATGTCGGGAGAGGTGATGAGTCGACTGCTCGACGCTGGCAGGCCAGCACGGCATGAAGCCGTCTTAACGGCATTACTTTGCTACGCAATACCAGAACATTTGTTAACTTCACGCACCGACCACTCGCAGCAACACTACATTCTTCTGTTTTAGGAAAGCCTTTTGCAGTGTTCGGCCAACGGTGAACTCTTACCGGACAGGTGGACTGATCGCTGTCGATGGGAGTCACGGCTAGGTCACGCAGCGTGCACGTGAATTTGCACTTTGTTGAGTCGGGCGAGCACGCCTGGTCCACCATCTCATGTGCAGCTGGCGCGACATCAGACGGGTCCTCGCCTTGTGAATCCAGCTCCAGCTTGGTGAGGTCGAGACACCGGCCTGAAACGCCAGACAAGCGGCCTCTAGAGAAACGATCACATCCTTGCGACCCTTTGTCTCACCCGCATTCTTCTAAGAAATTCCCTTTACCTTGCGCTGTACTTTATCACTCGCTAAGCTGCAGCCGGGGTGCAAGGTGGTCGAGTGGATAAGGTCGCAGACTCCTTTGTGGAGACTGGGTTGAAAACCTGACTGACATGACGACATCTGGCTGCTGATATGGTTACCGCAGTCGCTGGCGCTTGATAAAAGAGTGTGCGAAAACGCATGCCGCGTTCTCCTAAACAATGGCTGCAGCAAATAGGAATCACCTTGCTCCCAGAGTCCCGCGTGTCGGTCGCCGCTCTCGCCTCCGCGGGTGATCGCCTGGGAGAACCCCGGGCTGCCCATTGGTCGCCGGGCTGCGCAGGCACCACAATGGCCGTGTTTAGCTCACCTGTGTCGGCGATGACCAGGACGAGCAGCGTCACCATCAGTCGGAGGCTCGTGACGGAACCCAGCCGCGAGCCCGGCCGGGCCGCCGGCCGACCAGTCCTGCCTGCGGTCTGCACTGCCCGCCCCATGCCCGGCCGCCCCGCGGCTGCCCTGGCTGCCCGTGCTGCGCGCTGGTCGGCCGTCAGATCACCACACTCGTGAGAGGCGCACAGCCTCACAGCTGGCGTGATCGCTGGCGCTGGTCGCCTCGCCGGCTGCTCTCCCGGTGACCCGCAGCGTGCGCACCGCTCCAGCTGTTCCGTGACGCGGTCTGGTCACTATCGCTGTCTGCCGGCGGTGCGTCGGTCCGCTCGGTATCCGCCGACACTCAGGTCCCCGGCAACACTCAGTGCACGGCCCGCCGCTCCTGTAAGCCGCCACTGGTCAACGAGCGTCACCCGTCTGCCGCCCCGGGCTCTGACCTGGCCACCCGGCTGGCAGTCAGCACCCGAGACGAGAGCTCGCCGACCAAGCTCTGACGTCAGAGGACGGCGACTAATCCGACGTCGGACGCTCCAATCGCTGACCGAGCTATCGCGCCGATAGGTCCGGCGCTGCGTCAGGTAGATACCATTATCTACATCCTACTGGGTGCGACTGCAGGACCATGAAAACATTAAGTTATGCCAAACGGTAGAGACAGGTGCCGCTAAGATCCAGAGGTGTTAACATACTGCCTTGAAAACAAAAAGGTGTCATTTCTGCTTCCGACAAGGACGTCTGCCAGACGCAACCCATTCCGTTTGTTCTGCCGCGTTACCATTGTTAGAAGGTGCTAGCACTCAGCGCACGGTCCGGACTGCGCTGTGACCTCGGTATGGGGTGAGCTGCGACATCACAGGACGGTCGTGTCGCCCATGCCCTCGCCGAGTCGTGAGGGAGAGAGCGAGAGCCGTCCCTCTGTCTGCCTGCCAAGGTTTGAGCGATAGTGCCGAAGCCTCGCTTACGCGTTCAGCGACGACAGGGAATTGGGTGCTTTTACATTCTGGCATCGTCTGGTGAGGACCTTTGTGGCTTCTCACGATCGCTGAGAACGTTTGATGACGATCCATTCCGAGCCGCGAGCCGAAACGTTGTCCGAGCAGACAAAGGCAAAATCTAGATCACGCTAGTCATCGACTACGCGGATGAGTCAACTGGTTTCAACCATTTGTTAAAGCTGCTAGGTTATCAGCTCAAGGTACTGCCCAGATACGTGTCCCCACTGACTTCGAAAGCAGAATAGCTGCGTTCTATTTTCCACCAAAACATTTGTGTCAATTTTGAGCACTGATGAAGCAGCTATGTAACAGCTAGCCCGTCTTCGCTTTTCGCTCCTAAAACATTCCTTGTGCTTTAACGCCGATTTTCGCATCCGTTTTGCCTACTAAACCAACTGCTCAACTAAATTGCCGGCATTATGACTTCGGAGTTCTCATGCTGAGCTATCGACCTTCAATACACCAGAAGGTAATGGTTGAACAACGCTATAAAGTCAACATTGGTTATATTGCCCATGCTCGACGTTTCAGACTGTGCTCATGACGATAAGTAAAACAGAGTACGCAAGGTTAAGGAAAAATGACACTTGAAAACCAAGCCAGGGAAAAAAGAAAATGCTCCGAATCTGTGAAGACATCGTCGATACAAATATGTAAAAAATAATCATCACAGCTCCTACCTTCCAACACCCGATACATGGTACTACGCCAAACGCTGCACGAAACTCAGCCTGCCAAGCCGGAAGGTTGCGATGATCCGTGCCAAGTATTAGGTAGAAAAACTACTTACCATGATTATTTACCAGCAGAAACACTAACCGAACCCCACGAGCATCCCTGAAATCGGGTTCTTACGTCCTACCGCCCAATACACGGCGCTGCTAAAGGCTATCCGGGGCATAGACGGCTAAGCCGAAATGCTTCGATGACCCGTAGCAGGTGTCAGACTCAGGTCGGTATTTTACTTTGGTGAAACCAATGTTAAACATAATTATTTTTGAGCAACAGCTACTGACAACGGGGACCTCGATATGTTAAATTTGCTGCACTTCAGAAATCTTCATCCGATGCCAAACACACCAACGCCATCATGGTTTGAGCAGCATGGTTGGTTCATGTACGTTGAAATATAATTATTCGTTTTATAGACACCGATGCCCGGTTGCAAGTTTCTTTCCGTCCCTAAAGTAAGAAATTCATCAAAACGTTTCTATGCTTCCATATTTCCTGGCTTAAATTCATCACTTCTCTTCGCAACTACCGGGTCGTCGCAACAATCCAGATTAGCCAGCAGCCCTTAGGAGTACCGTATATTGACTGCCATAGAGTAGAGAGAATGAGAATAACCTTATGCTCATAATAAAATGAATAAGTCCACAACAAACACGCACACACACACACACACACACACACACACACACACACACACACACACACACACACACACACACACACACACACACACACACACACACACACACACACACACACACACACACACACACACACATATATATATATATATATACATATATATATATATATATATATATATATGTATATATATATATATATATATATATATATATATATATATATATATATATATATATATATATATATATTTCAGCCAAGGCCAATCCTCAGTAGATGTACTTAGAGCAAACATTCGATCCAGGTCACAAACATCGTGCAGTAGAACATTTCCAAAACAGAATGCCTTACACCTTTTCTCGGGCCGCATTATATCGAGTAACCCCAATGGAGAGAAATTGCATTACGAGACGTTGTCGTATAAGACGGGCTTCAAAAGGCTCCCGGACGCTACGTTTTGCCTCTCCAATGCAGGTGTTTGAGGGGGTTTTGTTTAGTTGGCACGTGATGAGTTACCGTCTTTTGTACGACACTTCCCCGCATTTGCAGGAATTGTATGGCCTTTCCCAAGCTAGGCAGAATGGTGGTGGGTCAAGTGCAATGGATGCCCCATGAGCTACTCGTAATTTGGGTGTGATTGTACGACATTTCGGGAAGGTGTCTTTAAAGAACCTTAGCGGCTGGTCGCATTGCCCCTTCCTCCTTATCAGGGCGAGGGCTGAGCGATGGGATTCACCTTAGCAGCATGTATCTAGCTCTAGCTACCTAAGTCATGCGTGGCCTACATGAGGAATACTCAGTATGGTTGACCGAGTGCACTGAACAACGTCTCGCGTAAGCACGTGTCGTGAGGCTCAAGCAACAGTCGAGTCAACTGAGACATCCGTTCGCAAGCACGAATGATATCGGGAAATAGGACGAAACCCTCTGACCACAACAGGAGCACGTCACATTCAGCCGGATCGCAGAAAGTTCAGACCGAGAGCGACATGATTTCAACGGCCAAACTCCCTGCAGCTCTGCGTTCCCTGGCGGTGATCAGCTGGCGGGACCGACAGGACGGTCCCAGCTGAGCCTCAGGCGCTCGGTGGAGCCATCCCGGCCCGGTGTCAGCGGCTCGCCAGAGAGCCGGGCCTCCACCAGGCGAGACCGGCGCGACGGTCCCAGCCGGGCCTCAGGCGCTCGGTGGTACCATCCCGGCCCGGTGTCAGCGGCTCGCCAGAGAGCCGGGCCTCCACCAGGCGGGACCGGCGCGACGGTCCCAGCCGGGCCTCAGGCGCTCGGCGGTACCATCCCGGCCCGGTGTCAGCGGCTCGCCAGAGCGCCGGGCCTCGGACCGTCAGCTCGCGTGCCGCCGTCGCCACCTGTCGACACCACTGACCCGCAGATCACGCGCAATCAAACCTCGCCCGCAGCCGGGCGGCCATCATTACCCGGTCCTGGGTCACATTAATGGATTCCCTGGGCGCCGGGCGGGGGCGGCCGTCGGCGCGTGGGGCCAGTTTCCCAACAGCCATCTGTCTTCGGCGGCGGCCCGCTGGGTGCCAGTGGCCCGGCGGGGGTGGAGTCACGAGGGCACTCCCGGGCTCCGGCGGGGCCAGAGGACCTAGGCTGTGCGTGACACGGTGGGTCCTTAGGACATGGGCTCAAGCTCGGTTTTATTAAGCTTAGTTCAATTTGTCTATTAGTCATCACCAGACGCACCTCAGGATCACAGATAGTCATAAAAGGCAAAACATGAACTGTAGAATGTAGCCAGTACAAGGATTTCAGACTTTGAGTAATTCAGACACCTTTGAGACGGACCGAAGTAGTACAAGACTGTAAAGCGACAATGGTAAAATGGGTATGAGCTAGTGATCTGGCGCCAACAGATGCCTGATGGCCTGTTTCTTAAACTTGGAGTTCGTTTTGTCAACTATTGATATCACCGCTTTGCTGCAGATGTTGGTTGCATGCCTTCAGATATTTAAATGTAACATAATGCTAATTGACGACTCTACAGTGCTGAAGCGAGCGTAAGGCACATCGAATTACACCGCGATGAGACACCGCACGGGCGACAGCTGGGTTGAGAAAGCCAAGCGTAAACATCAGGAATAAAACAACTATCGATAACATTAAGCGACGAAAGATGGCTGCTCCGATGCAGTGCTCCCGGCAGCGCACTGTCAGTGCCACCGCTCTCTTGGAAGTTGTTAACAGCAGCCCCGACTGACCCACGTGTGTAGGACTGACTGCGCGTGCTATTGGGTTAGGCTATGACAGCTCTCCGCTGTCTGCTGTCACTATTCATGAACGATGACGGATCGCCCCGAAACACCCGGTTGTCATTCGGTGTTTTCATCTTTCACTTACATTGGTTCGTCATCTGGTTACCATAAAGAATGTTTTCATCTCAGAGACGCTGAAAGCTGGTTAAATAAATACGGAATGATAAAAAATGCATTCACACTATTACACTAGCAATTACATTACAGGCACATGCAGTATGTACTATTGCGCTCAATAAATGTTTTCCTCACGTGTGCTGAGAAGTTTGCACGATGTCCTCTTAAACAAAGCGTTACTGCCAAGTTGTTGGAAATCACCGGGCGTGACCGAGACTCCGACCTCCCATGACCGACTTATAGAACCAAACACCGACTGATCTGTTTGTGGATCATGACAATGAACACAATGAGATGGTGGCGCAATGCTGTTGTTAATTTCCTGTAGTGAGAAACGAGCAGCCACTTACGTCTTACATAGTAATGGGCGCACAAAAAGCGGGCTATGAATGTCAATATTTGAAAGGCCGATTGCTGTTGTTTAGCCACAGTTGACTGCTTGTGTGCAGAGCAGGGTGGCGTTAGCTAGGTAGTTGAGACAGACGCAGGAGCTGAATGCCACCAGGCATGGATGCAATATGTGTAAAATCCATCACCCACATGTGAAGGGCCATTAATGTTTCGTATCGCATGAAATGCAAATAAACTACTTCATAGGTGGGTGTAACCTAGCTTTGGCTCGCCATACACTTTCGTGTATCTGCACAGCTCTCGAGCCTATGGCATCCAAATGGTCGGGCTGACGGGTCACGATCCCCGCTGTCGGGTGCACCGTCCCGACGGA